GTCGGTCATGGGGCTTGAACTCTGGGCCTGGGCGCTGACCATGAGCTCTTCAGCTCAAAGCTAGCACTCTATCACCTGAGCCACAGTGCCACTTCCGGTTTTCTGGTGGATTATTGGAGATAAGAGTCTCAGGGGCTTTCCTGTCTGGGCTAGCTTTGAACCTTGATCCTCAGATCTCAGCCTTCTGAGTAGCTAGGATTACAAGTAGGAGCCACCAGTGCCCAGCTCTGAATGTAATCTTTGTCCCATAGAAGCCACTCCCAAAAGTCACCCTGATGCTAATGCATCTGCCTACAAGCCATTCCTACACAGTCAGCAGAAACCATGAAAAAATCAAGCAGAAAAGGTCAGATAAGTTGATGTTAGGGAAATGAACCCTAAGATATGTATTCAAATGTTTTTTTTTCTTTCAGGTGATTGTTTCTAACACATTTATAAGATTATTTCTTTGTTGCTTTGTATGTCCCTCCCCCATGGTATAACCCCTGTTTTCACTGTATTTGAGGTTGGTATAATTTGTGGAGGGGAAGGGAAAAAACAAATTGTTTAAATAGGGAAACAGGTGGATCCATTGCAACAATGAGATGTACAAGTCGTTATGTGGAAAAACAAACTTTACAACTTTGGTGGGGGGGGGAGGATTGGGTGGGGGACGGGGAGAGGATGGGAAAGGGAAACAAAGGGGAAACAAAGGAGGAGGCTAAAATGCTTGATAAGAAATGTACTCATTATCTTGCCCATGTAATTGTAACCCCTTTGTACAGTATTTTCACAATAAAAATTTTTAAAAAGAAACCATGAAAAAATAGAAATACTTAAGAAGAGGCCTATTAACTCTGCAAACAGAAATATATTTGTAATCTACACCAAAAAAATAAGCAGGCAGATCTTCAGAAGTTTAGACAATGCTGTTCCAGCTTTGGGGACTGGGTGATATTGACAGAAAGAGCAGGAAAAAATAACAAAATGTACTCTTCTTTGATAATTTATTTTTGCCAATCCTGGGGCTTGAACTCAGGGTCTGGGCCCTATCCCTGAGCCTCTTTGTGCTCTAGTACTCTAGTACTCTACCACTGCACTACAGCACCACTTCCATCTTTTTTGAGTAGTTTATTGGAGATAAGAGTCTCACAAGACTTTTCTGCCCAGGCTTGCTTCGACCCAGGATCCTCACATCTCAACCTCCTAAGTAACTAGGATTTATAGGCATGATCCATTGGTGCCTGCCAAAATCTGAAAGTTCTAACAATTTGAAGTTCTAAATCTAAATAGGCATCTAAGATAAGACTTACAGTCATTTGATCCATAGCATGTGAGATGGTACTTCAAAGTGAAGATGGCCTGGCCAGCAGATTGTGTGATTTAAGGTTTTTCTTTTAGTTTTAACTCCTCTCCTCCTGCATCCTCTGAACCACTGTACCCAGTTTTCTATCACCAGACTGTGCAGCTATTCTTTTTCCTCTTCTCTTCTCTCTCTTAATTCTCAAAGTCCCAGACCCACAGACAAGAGGAGGAAACCCTGTAGTGAGGACTCTGATCAAGGTTGCTTGGTGATCAAATATAGTTTGTCTTTGTCCCAGCTTCAGCTTTGTTTGTATGCATAAAATTTCTTATGTATCCCAGAAAGAAAACATTGCATGATAGAAGTGTTTGGAATCAAATACTTGTGTGTGATCACCTTCCTCATAGATATCTCTAAAGGAGAAGAACCAAAAATATCGAGACCTCCAAGACGACCCCGGAAACCCAAAACATTGAATAACCCTGAAGACTCCTCATACTATTACCTATTGCACGTAAGTGACTTGCTCAGGATCAGCTGAGAGTCATGGTGTCCTCTGAAGGCCAATGTGGAAACCATGGCTATATTATGTTGCCACAGAGGAAGGTCAGACCAAACAGAGACACCTCTTAGTTTCTTCTTTGGTGACTCTTCCCCAAATGAATATCTGGAGTCTTTGCTGTCCTCCAGTCCTCTTCCTTATGATGCAGGCCTGTCTTGTGGCCATGTACCAGACACATCCTCCCAGCAGCTTTCTCTGAGCTTGTATGCAAATATCAACCCAGAAAGGGAAGTCCATCATGGAAGAGCTTTACAGAAAGGGACATTTGCATGAAGGGATGCATTATGGTGAAACTAGAGGAAAGGGGAGGAAAGGAGAAGTAGACCCTTACTGAACCTCTACTGAATTTCAGGCCTAGAATGAGGCCTGGTTACATTCATTGTGTGTCTAATCCTACAACAGTCTTTAATGTTGTCTCCACATTGCATCTCTTAAGATCTTGTGATACAGGGTGAGGATGTATCAACCCCATGGAAGGCTTGTTCATTTTATTGAGGTCTGCTGGCCCCACTCGCAGTATGCAGCAGGAGAACTCACAGGCATCACTCTTGCTAGGCTGCTCTTCCTCTCCTGTCTTCTGACTGTTTTCTGACCTCCATGGATGTTTCTGTCATCCACTAGGTTTCCTGAACCAAGAGCATGGAAGTCTTCCTAGGTCTCATGCCTGATACCTACATTGGTTTCTCTACATTATGGCTTCTGCCTGCAACAGCTCCCTCCATGTCCTCTTCCTTCTCTTACCCTCGTAGGAGGGTTGAGAGACCACCATTTCTCATCTGCATTATTTCAGGCCTCTTCTCACTGATTCTAATCACATCCATCTCAGCCTATCCCAGAAAATGTCACTAAATCATAAACTTAATAGCTCAGCAATTCCATCAGCATGAAGTTAAGATTCCTTCCAAGACCTCTATTGGAACTGGGACTATTTATCAGGTCACTGCTTGAAACTGCCAGTGAGCATCTATCTTTCTCTTGGGCTCTCGGGGTCTTTGCAACCCTGGTACCTCCATTAACAATGCTTTAACACATCTGCTGAGAATGTATTCGAATCCAGACAACTAGAGAACCAGAGAATGTAGTAGAACCCCAACACCTTGTTGGCAGAAAATATGAAGCTTACACTTAACTACCCAGTTAGCCAAGCTTATGTGGTTCTTTTCCTTCTCTCTTGAGTTTTCCCAGGAAGTTCCTCTCCTTCTTGGTTTTACCACAGTTTCGTCTTAGTCTCTGTCATTTCTTTTAGATAATTTCATCAGCTATCAGGACCTCAGCTACTACTTGTCTCTAAGTCTTTGTGTCTAGTATAAACTTTAATCTCCAAACTCAAATATCAAGCTGCCTGAAATTTTTACATAGTCTTCATGAGCAGGCATACTGAGATATCACCAGATGAGTACATGCATTCACATAGCTTTGTTAGGTTATAAATCACATATCATCCAAATTATGTAGTTAAAATAAACAACTAAAAGTGTTTGTGACTTTCTCTAAATCTAACTATGCTACAGTATTGTGAAATTTATATAGTCATGTAATCTCAACAAAGAAATATTTGGAAATATATATGTATATATACAATCAAATGGCTTTTGTAACAACTATCAACAGACAATTTTGCAACATTTTCGTTACCTCAAAAAGAAGCACTACCCATTAGGGGTCATTCTCTACCTTCCATGCATTTCCTCAAGACCTAGGCAGTTACTGATCTCCTTCACATCTTAACTTTGTGGCTTCTGGCCTGGACATTCGATATAGAATTCTGTGCTATATAGTCCTTTGTGAATTGCCAACTAATTTTACAAACTAGTAACTTATTGTTCTGACTCCTCCCTCTTTCTCATCTGCCATTAAGATCATAATGTTATAGATCATTATACTGTGATTTTACTTTATTGCTACTTATTTTTGATTCTTCTACTCTCTTTAGAAGTCAATCCAAGAGGAAAAACGAAAACCAAGGAAAAACAGGTAACTATTATGTCTAGATTTCCAAAAAGTCATCTAATAAGAACAAAATTATGAATCCCTAAATTCAAATTAGGACTAAAAAATCATATTTGGAAACTAAAGGGATTTTAACATATTTATGTAGTAAATGTGTGGCTTTGTCTATGTAACTTAGAAAAGCTTACCTTTTGGAAATATATTGAGCCAAAGCTGTATGAGACATTCACTAAGAACTCTTATATATTTAGAATGAGTTATATATCTCGAATAGACTTTGATTAAAACCATTGGGTGGTTTTAATTGGGTAATTTGAAGTTGGCCCTATCCATGTATTTACTTGCTTTTTGTCTTCCAAAATGCATGGCTTTAATTCTGATGCCTTATGATTTTTTGGGTGGGGGGTCCAGTCGTGGAGCCTGAACTCTGGGCCTGGGCACTGTCTCTCAGCTCTTTAGCTCAAGGCTAGCACTCTACCACTTAAGCCACAGCGCCACTTCTGGCTTTTTTCTTTTTGCTTATGTGGTGCTAAGGAATTGAACCCAGGGCCTCATGCATGCAAGGCAAGCGCTCTACCACTGAGCCACCTTCCCAGCCCCTGCCTTATGATTTTTATAGAGTCATAACAGCAAGATTTGTGTTTCCTACCATATAAGATCTCAGTCTATTAATGCTTTACTGTTTTAATATCATGCCACTGTTATAACTAAAAGTCACATCAGTTAATTTCCAGACACTACTCAGAACAAAAAGATGGTTCTTCCATTAAGAATACAGAGGTTCCTTTGTTTTTGTTTTTCTTGGAGTTTGGGGGGGATTGTTGTTATTGTTACTGCTGTTGTTCTTGTTGTTGTTCCAGTATTGGAGCTTAAATTCAGGACCTGATGTCCCTTAGCTTTTAAGGTCAAGGCTAAGATTCTACCACTTGAACTACAATACCACTTCTGGCTCCTTGGTAGTTCATTGGAGATAAGAGTCTCACAGACTTTCCTACCCAGGCTGGCATTGAACTGTGATCCTCAGATCTTGGCTTCTGGAGTAGCTAGGATTACAGGCACGAACTACTAGCACCTAGCTTAAGAACACAAAAATTCTTAATAGAAAAATGCACAAACACAGAGTGTCCTGTTTATGAATCAGTCATGTCCTGGACATCTATATATAAATTATCCAAGTCCATGTATAAATTATCTAAGTCCATATATAAATCTACCACTTGAAACACATTTCCCTATAAGCAGTGGATTTTGAAAGATACTTGTTTATCTCCAACCATGGGGCTACAGATCCTGGGCACCACAGAACCAGCCTTGGCCCAAGTGGATCCAAGGACACACTTTTTTTTAAAATATATTATTTTATTGCAAAGATACTGTACAGAGGGGTTACAGTTACATAAGCAAGGTAATGAGTCCATTTCCTATGGAGCATTGTTACATCCTCCTTTGTACTTCCCCTACCATCCCTTTCCTCCCCACCTTCCCAACTCCCACCCCATCCCCTCCACAAAGTTGTGAGGTTCATTTTCAACACACTGTCTTGAACATCTCATTGTTACAATGGGCAAGGACACACTTTTGTGTGCATTGTCCTGTGTGAATACTAAAATCTAAAACAGAAACCAACCTGCTAAAGGCCAAAGGATAGGAGGAAGCCCAATGGCTGTGTGTGAAAGTGATAACTTAAGGTCAGGAAGCCAGATATTTATCAGGGTGCCAATGGCTGATGAAGTTTGGGAATGCTTTGTGCTCATACATAAAGGCTGGCTTTTCTGGCAGTGGTTCAAGAAGCAGTTGTAGGCCCTGTTAGAGGCAGACCATATCAGAATACTGCCTGTAGTCACTGTCTGTTCTGAAAACTACCAGCGCCATGCCAACTTAGCACTGACAGAAGCAAGAAAAGCTGCTCCATCCACTAATGTTCTATTCAAGGTAAGAGATGGGAGGGTTTGTTTTTTAATTTACTTTAATTTACTACTTTTGCACATCTCAAGACTTCTTCCATTGGCAGGTATGTGTTAGTCGGAGTATTTTAAAAAGAAGAAAATGTGTCTATAAACTGAGTAGAAATGTAGACTAATACTATGATATGTTTATGTGTTCATTTACAGTCAGGGAAAATTATTAGATTTGGAAGATTTCTATTATAGGGAATTTTTGTCCAACCATTCTGGACCAAAGGATTATTGCCCTACTTCAAGAGCACAAAATCCAGATGAAGAACTCCAGAATCAGCGCTTCAAGGCTAAGGAAAGGTAAGAATAATACACTTGAAAATACAGTCTGTTCAACTTTATTCCCAAATTTTTATTTTTAAGCAATTTCATTTCATGTGCAGACTAATGGCATAGTATTCTTACTAATTGCATCTTATTTTTCGAAATCATTTAGCTTTCCAAAGTAAAATCACTTCAGTTTCTTCAGCAAAATCCAGTTTCTGTCTACCTTCTTGGTATAAATATTAGTAGCAAATATTTTGGTTTAGATGATAAGCTAATTATCCTAGGAATATATCACATGTATAGCCTATGTTAAGTTCTAACCAATGTAATTTTAATCACTTTTTGGATTCTTAATTAATTGCTTATAATATTCAGAATCAGAGATATGAGATGACAAATAATTTAGGGAAAGTTTCATAGAAAAACATGTTCTTTAAAAAATATATATGTTCTTGGATTTTTCACCTTGCTACCACCTTTATGACATTATTTTCTTTTGCAGTTTATTTACTGCTTTTGGGAAATTTTTTCTTTCCCCCAAAAAAATCTTTATGAAGTTTGAGCTTGAATGTGCATAATTATAAAAATAGATATATGGCTTTTGTATGTTCTTCTTCCTATGGTATATCCCTCTTGTCACTATTTGATTTTGGTACCCTGCATCTTATCTATACATTTATCTAATTTGGGGAAGGGAAAGGAAATAACAAAATGCTGAAACAAGGTCACAAGATGACCCATTGCAACAATGATAGTCACAACACACTATGTTGGAAATGAGCCTTACAACTTTGGGGGAGGGGAGTCGGGGAGTGCGGGAGGTAGGGAAAAGAAGGGATAATGGAAGAAAAACAAAGGAGGAAGTAACAATGCCCGACAAAAAATACACTCATTACCTTACTGATGTAGCTGTAACCTCTCTGTACAGCATCTTTAAAATAAAATAAATAGGTATATGGGCAATGGGAGTAATGACAGGAAATTGAGAATTCTTCATGCAAAACCCCCAACTAACATCCTATCATACTCAGACTCCTCTTCATCAGCCTAAAGTAGCCTCCTCACCCATCTCTTCTACACTGTGATGTGATTGGTTGAGAGCAGAGGTTTTCATTCCAGAGTCTTAGATTCGAATGGGCTACTTTATGCTTGGGTGATGAACCTGATAGTCTCTAACATCTTTAAGCTCCAAATTCAGCATCTGCAACAAGATTTGCTGACAGCTGCCTCCTTATATTAATGTAAATATTTAATGAACTGATAAAAGAGAGACATCTGTCAATAGTAGTGGTTACTGTCATCTTTATTTGCTTTTCTAGTATCTACTTGAGCTATGACTTCTACCCCTTGTCTCCAAAAAGAAGATGTATTCTTCCATCTTCGAATCAAAAACTGTAACATGTTGGAGTCTAAATGGAGCCCTGGTCTCACCACATGGCTCCATATAAGAGAGCACAAGTACCCAGAAGACGAAATGACTTGTCCCAGCTCTCCTCTTGAGATAGGAACCTAAACTCAATAGTTTTTACTGATAATCTGCTTCCCATATTAGCCAACCACTCTGCCTCATACGCAATATACTCATCCTCTCCCAGCCAAGATATATACACAACTGCTCTAAAAGGATAACACCCTGAAATACTGCCTATTGTCCATGAATGTCTGTGTGTGTGTTTGCCAGCACATGCGTGCATGAGTGTGCACACATCAATAGAATCAGAGTGCCAGCAGCTAGTACTGCGTACTGGCCTGCTCCAGGCATACAGCTGCTATCTCATTTAATCCTCATGACAACATTTTGAGACAGTGTGTAAAGTTTAATGGCTAAGTCTGCAAAGTTTAATGACTGCAAAGAGTCACCTAAACAATAAGCAATGAAGCCAGGAAACTTCAACATGAAACTTTATGAGTTTAGAGCCAATGACTTTAACCTTGATTCAGTATTACTAATTTATTTGTCTGTTAGTTTATTGTGCCTGTACTAGGGCTTGAACTCTGGAACTAGGTACTGTCCCTTAAGATTTTTGCTCAAGGGTGGTAATCTACCACTTGAGCCACAACTCCACTTCAGGCTTCTTTTGTTAATTAACTGGAGATAAGAGTCTCATAGACCTTCCTGCCCAAGCTGGCTTGGTACCAGGATCCTTAGCTCCTCAGCCTCGTGAGTAAGGATTACAGGCATGAGCCAGGGTGCCCGGCTTAATATTGCCATTTTATGCAGAGCCTTGTGATATGATTTAAGGATTGGGTGAATACAAGAAGATATAAAATATGGTCATCACATCCAAGGGGATTGATGCTAGAAGGAAAATATACTGATGTAACAGAAATTAACAAGGTAACTCTAGGAAGGGATTTTTTTCTAAACTAAGGAAGACTGTGAAGACAAATTAGCCAAAGGCCGTGCTTTAAACTTGATAAGATCCAAGATTGAAAAATAGGAAACAAAAACAAAAGAGAAGAAACATTTTTGGAGAATTCAGAGACATTTAAGACTAGATAATGCCATTGTAGAAAGAATAATTGTGTGTGTGTGTGTGTGTGTGTGTGTGTGTGTGTGAATATACACACACAGCTAGACTCACAATTATACCAACTACTGATATCACTCAGCAATGTATGAATAGGTCTCAAAGTAAGAGGCATGAGCAATGATAAATCTAATGCATTGTGGATTTTTTAATTGCCAAACAAAAATCACTATACTATGGTGTAGAACATGGTGTTTTGAACTACATGTAGGCTAAACTGAACTAATTAACATATCATAAGCCTCATATGCTTACTATATTTGTTTTGAAAATACTTAAAATCTGCTTTTAAGGCAATTTTCAGTACTCAATCATCATGAACTCTAGTTATGTTGTAAAGCTCTATTATGTTGTAAAATAGATTTCTTAAACTTATTTCTCCCTATAAATCAGTATCCTTTAAGCAACAATAACCATCATTCTATTGCTTGTTTCTACGAGACATTTTTAGATTTCACACACAAATGGGATACAAGTCTTTCTGTACCTGACTTATTTCATTTAGCATAGTGTCTTCCAGACTCATTTATATTGTCCAGAATGACAAGATTTCCCTATTTTTAAAAAACCAGGGCTGGGAAGGTGGCTCAGTGGTAGAGCGCTTGCCTTGCATGCATGAGGCCCTGAGTTCAATTCCTTAGCACCACATAAGCAAAAAGAAAAAAGCCAGAAGTGGTGCTATGGCTCAAGTGGTAGAGCACTAGCCTTGAGCTGAAGAGCTGAGGGACAGCGCCCAGGCTGAGAGTTCAGGTCCCACAACTGAACCCCCCCCAAAAAAAATCAAAAAACATTATCATTGTGCATAGAAGCCATGTTTTTTTCTTAATCTGCTTATCCATTGATAAACACATTGGTTTATTCCATGCCTTTTATGTGAATTTTTATTGTAAAGATGATGTACAGTTTATTGTAAAGATGATGCAACAGTTACATAAATTAGGTAATGACTAAATTTCTCTTTGAGCAGGGTCACCTCTTCCTTCATTTTCTACCAGTTTTTTTCTCTCCCAATCCACCTCCCCCCCCAAGTTGTACAGTTCATTTTCAACATAGTGCCTAGTGTATTCCACATCTTAGGTGAGGCTTCCATACACATGGGTATCTCTTTGAAATACTGTTTTCAAATCACACCAAGTAATGAGAATGTTTGATTGTACAGAAGTTCTATTTTCAATTTTTGAAGAACTTACATATTGTTTTCAAATGGCTCCACTACTTTACATTCCCACCAACTGTGAGTGAGGGTTCCCTTCTTTCCATATCCTCATCAACACTTGTTGTCTTCTTTTTCTCAACAGTCACCATAACCCGTGTAAGCTCATGGCTCATTGTGGTTTTAATTTGCATTTCCCTGATGATTAATAATAACTTTTTTCACGTTCCTGTTGGCCATTTATATGTCTTCATATTAGAAGCATCTGTTGGAGGCCTTTCCCCATTTTTTTTTAAAAACCAAGCTATTGTCTTAGTTGATATTGAATTGTTGGGATTTCTTGCACATGTTGAATATTAACCCCTTATCAACTATATCACTTGCAAGTATTTCTTACCATTTCTGGTTTATCCATTCACTATTTAGTTGCTTTCAAGTTTGATGTAATCTCATCTGCCCATTTTTGCCCCTGTTATCTGTACTTTGGGGGTCAGGTACAAAAATTCATTGGCTAGACCAATGTTGTGGATCTCGTTTCCAGGTATAGTCAAAACCTAGACAGTCCTCACCTTTTCCTCCTCAAGTCTAGTCCCTACCACTACCAGTCTTGCTAGAGCTGTGGCAGTATCTTTTAACAGGCCTCCCTCCTACCAGGTGGACAACCAAATCCTTTTGTGAGTCTCTTCTCCCCTCATAGCCCTTCTGTTTTTCTCAGTTCAAATTAATGTCAAATCCTTGTCATGGCCTCAAAATTATCTGCAGCATTTTACCCTCAACCAATCCCCTGCTCTCATCCCTTATTTTCCCACCCCTTGCTTATTCTATTCAAGCTACAACGGCATCTTTGCTGGTCTTTGAACATCATCCATACCCTGTAGTCTTAGTACTTTTCCCCTAGTTGATCTATTGTCCTGAAGTGACTGTTCTTTCTCCCAAGAGATCTATCTGCATGCTTCACTCTCTTTTGTCAGGCTTCGTTTCAAATGTCACCTTATAAAGGCATTTCCTGACCCTCATCATCTACAAAACAGCTTGTCCACCCACCATCCCTCTGCCCCAGTACCTACCTGCTTTGCTTTTCTCTATAGCATTCACCATGTGATGCTTTAAAATTATATGCGGTCCTCCCCCACACTAGACTTCAAACTCCATGGGAGAAAAAAAGTCTTTTTTACCCCAAATATATACATTTAGTTAGGCACTCAATGAATGAGTGAATGAAGGAATGAAGGGATCTATTTAACTACACTGTAGGGAGAGAGTCACTTCCCCAGGCAAATGGAGGAATCTGAAAGTAAACATGGATGAGCTTGCCAGCAGTGAGTCCAGGAAAGCTGGCTAGGCATCCTCATTGAAAACATAAGTAACACCATCATTGTCACTGTGGGAACGGTTGATTTGATTTAGGTTAGTGTCTCTAAAGAAAACATCTGAGCAGTTGGGGAGGGAAGGGAAATAAGAGTACCTGTTTAGGCATCTTGAGGTGTTGTGGTTTTTTTCCTGTTTGAGGAAAGTATACTAAAATTAAGGTAACAAAATCAATATTTGTTTTATTGATTGTGATTATTTCTATCCAAAGGAAGCTTGTCTTCCTGCTCTCCACCTTCTGATGTTTTTCTTAGCTCTCATCCAAAGACAAAGTCGCCCCGTTCTCATTTTGAAAACTTGCTGAGAATCATGTAAGGCCATTGGCCTTACATTTTGATTGTACCTTTCTGAAATGCCTGTGGTTGGTGGAACGAGGGAGGAAGAGGATCCGCCCTTCTTGGAGATGCGAGTTAACACTGGGCTCTCCCTTGCAGCTGCGGGGCAGCGGAGGAAACGACCGGTGAGGAGGAGGAGGAGCCAGAGGAAGAAGAAAAGGAGGAGGAGGAGGAAAAGGAGGAGGAGCACAGCGGGCCAGCAGACAACCCTTATGACTACCGGAGGCTCCTGCGCAGAACCTCCCAGCGCCAGCGACTCCTGCAAAAGTTGTAGCCCAGCCACTAAGTGGCCACTCCAAGACAAAAAAGAAGAAGAAAAAAAAGCCCTTGACTGAGACTGCCTTTGTTCCTTAAATGCTAGAATCACCCTTGGGTGTTTTTAAAGACTGCCTCCCCCCCACCCCACACACACACATCCACGTGTCCTTTTACTGACTGGCCATCAGGGTCCCTGTCACCTGTTAGCAGCTGCTTCTGTGGACTCAACTGTGCCTGAGCTGTTGTCCCTCTTTCTCTCCTCTTTCACATTGGTAGTATCGACTATTTTTTTCTCTCTTGCAAACAGCTTGCCCAGATCCACTGTCTACTCCAGAGAGGGTGGAATTTTCCAGAACAAAGCAGGGTGGGGAAGAACTTCTAAGATCAACTCCATCCCTAACTTAAACCTGCCCTTCCCTTGGTTATTAAGATTGCTAAATAAAAGAAGCACCCTGTAAAGTCTGTGATTTGCAATGCTGGTCTGCTGTGTTCCCTTTGGGTGAGCTGAGGCTCCCCTGAGTCTCCTGCAAACCCTCACCCCTAGCCACCTCAAATAAACCTACAGTCACCTAAGTTAAAATGCCCAAGCTTACCTCCCAATGAAATCTCCAAACCTCCAATGCACCATCTGCCTAGTGCCCCCCAACAAACAAACCTCTCTTTGGTCCCCGCTTAGAAAAACTCTAGCCCTGACTGTGAACAGAAATGTCAGATTTTATATTCTTCTCTGCAGATGTAGAGCAGCTGCTCTGAATTTGAGTCCATTTGGATGAGGAGGGAAGGTACCGGACAGAGGGGAGAGGTTTTTTTTTGCCTGAGACAGCAAACTGCAACATTTGTGAACATGGCTAAGCCCTTCTAGGGAACAACCATGGTTTGTATGGAGGACATTCTCCAAGTCTTCTCAGCCTGGAGAGGGCATGAAAGAGTGAAGAAGTAATTCCACCTACAACTGAATCCACAGAAAGACCTGGCCAGGACAGAGCTTGTCCTTACAGAGGGCACCTTCTGCCTTATACCCAAAGGTCCTGAGCCAGAAGATGCTGGGAGAGATCAACTAGGAGTATAAGAGGTTGATAACCTTTGTTGAGTCTCTGGTGATAACATTTTCTCAAGAGAGGGACTTGTGCAATCTCTTCATTTTACAACTTGATAGCTAGTTCAGGGGAAAAGTTCAGCTGGGGCAGATTTAAGCCCCAAGTCATCAATTATGATGCACTTTCTGGGAATTAACGCCTCCCCTCTACTAGGATTTGGAAGCAAAGGGATGAGTCAGCCCTGGTGTGTGGCCCCAAGGAGCGGCTAGACTGGCCCCAATACCAGCCAAACCAGCTCTGTGAAGCACATAGATGGGTGTAGGTAGAGACAGGAGAATCTCTTCTCTGAGGTTTAACCTCCTGCACTCCAACCTATAGATCTACCAGGAAGCCCTCAGAAGCAGGTGCAGTGCAGAGGAGCTCTGCTTCCCACCCAGACCCACCCTTCAATCCTGGCTTCCCATTTGGCCCCTGCATACCCAAAAGCCCTGGCAGCCTGGCTCTTCCCACACTGGACAGAGAAGCAAGCAACCCTCTCCCCTAAACTCCCCACTCCCCAACCCTCATTGTTTCAGTGAAACTGGAAAATGGACTATGGTTAAACAATGTAATATTTTTGTTTTCTCTTCTTTTTCTTTCTCCCTTTGTATCCCTGCTTTCTTTCTCTGACCCTCCACATTTAAACCCTGAAAGGACACTGGGGAAAACACTTGAACCAGATTTTTTTTTCAGCAACACGATCTCTAAACTAGAAATAGGTCATCCAAGGAAAGTAGGGGGGGGTCTGCCTTTCTGCCCAGAAAGCTCCCCCTCCCCCCAGTCCCTAGCTGCCTCCTTTGTGAACTAATGACGGTAATTATTACCTCCAGCACTCTTTTGTTAGAATCAACTAAGAGAGGGGCGGGGAGGATGAGGAATGGGGCTCTTTTACTAAATGAAAGACTTAAAAAAAAAGGCAAATTGCTGTCTAGGGACAGAGGTTTAAGGAATGACAAAAGAGAGTGGAGTGTGTCTACATTGTTTTCGAATAAATCCTACCACCTGATTTAAAGGACTCTGGCGCCATGCGATTTAAAAGTCGCACACAAATCAGTTAAATTTAGGTGTTTGGGATGAGGAGTTTCTATGTCCCTCTTATTTTGATCTATGGGGGGGGTATGTTTGTGTGTGTGTGTGTGTGTGTTTGTGTGTGTGTGTGTGTGTTCGAAGGTTTGTTTTTAAGCATCTTTATACTTCAAATACCATCCAGAGTAGAGAGGTCGTGCAATTCCAGCACGGAGAGAAATAGTTGCAAGCTTCGGCGTGGATTTTGACAAAGAACCAGGAGCCCTCTATCTGTAAGACCGGCGAGGCTGCTGCGCTGCCCATTCCCGGCAGGCTCAGGAGCCACTGCAACCCGCTAGTTGTTACCTTGATCAGCTAGGGTCAGATCCCTGACAGCTGTCAATAATGTCCACCCCTGCGATCTGATCCTTAGATCCTGTAACTGTAGTGGAGAGCGCTACGGACACGTCGGAAGAGGACCACGCTTTGTGGGGAGAATTGATTGGGGAATGACACATCCTGGTTACAAAGCTCGGGCCTGTGCGTCTCCTACCTCCTTCACCTTGGGGACTCCATGGCCCTTTCGCAACGAGCATCACGGAATAGCCACGACTGAGGATCCCGGGGTTTGATTTGCAGCAGATTTAGAGAATGGTTGGGAAGGTCAGAGAAAGAAAGGCTTGTGTACAATGGAAATGACAAGCGCTCACACGAGATGCCGCAGGCAGCTGAAGGCAGCTTTCCGGCCTGGGTCATTCTCTCGCTCCCTCTTCCAACCTGAGCTGTGAGGTGTAGGTGAAACTAACCTCCCGGCTGCCAAGAGAAGGCCACGCGAATTCATGGGGCCTCCAAGCCCTCCGAGACTTCTCTGTGTTTAATAGGTTTTAGAGAAAGGAAACCATCAGACAGAAACGATTCTGGAGCTCTCACCTTTTCGATGTTCGGAGAAGAGAAAAAGGAAGGAAGGAAGGAAGGAAGGAAGGAAGGAAGGAAGGAAGGAAGGAAGGAAGGAAAAGAAAGAAAGAAAGAAAGAGTTCTCTTTCTTTAAAAAGCCTCAAAAATGACCCATCCTGCGTTCCTGGTATATCTCTGTACAGTACAGATTTCCCTTTGGGCGAGGGAAAGCCACTGGTTTGAGGGCCTTTAAAAGGAGAGGTACCTTCTTTCTGATTGGAAAGCCCAGACTGCTTAGTTGGAAACCCCATCGGCGCCTTCCACGCACATTTGAATTCGAATCACACGTGAACAGCTGGCCCTTCCACCCCTCGGTGGTTCAAGGTCACCAAATGGCCGGGTCCCATCCCCCCTCCCATCAGCCGTCAATCCTAGAGGCTCTGGCTGCGCCCCTCTGCTCCCTTCCAAGAAGTTTCGTTCGTTCTATTATTTCTTTCCTCCAGCCTGAGGTCCCGGCGATAGACTCCTGCATGGATTTTAATTGCTTCAATCAGCAGTCTCTCTCTCCAGCCGTCAGTCACACACTGGGCATTGGGTCCCCGAGACCCAGCTCTTGGCTGCACGAGAATGTTGCGCCCCAGGGCTGGCACGGCTCGGTGGGCCGGCGTAAGGCTCCATTTAGGAGCTGAAAGAAGCCCACCCTCACACAGGCGACTTTCCTCCATCGCTTCCCTTCACCTTCCCCCACCTCCCCCCAAATTCGAGAACCGAGCTCCTTTCTCTTCTAATCGCGCTACCAGGGTTGTTGAGGTCGCCGCGACCTCTTCCCAAGCGCTGGGAGGAAGGCGGCCCAGGAACTATTCACCCAGCCCTTAAACAATACCCCAATCCATGACCCCCAGTAAAACTGATCGGAGCCACACGGCCCACCTCTCCCTTGGCCCCCCAACCTGCCCCCGGGCTGAAGTCACCGCCGCGGCCGCGGCAGCACCTTGGACAGCGCGCCGGGGCAGGAGGGAGGCACGAACACCTGGAGCCTCCCGCGTGCGTCTGGGGCGCGCGGGGACGCCTCCCACCCCCTCACTCTGACTCCCCTTGGGGCGCTGAGTCTGCCTAGCACACTCACGACTCAGCTCCCTCCTTCTCCCTGCTTCCCCCCCCACCACCACCACCACCTCCAGCCTCGCTCAAAATCCCTGCTCTCCCGGCTGTCCGATCTCCCTTCCTTCCGACCCCTTCCCTGATTCACCTCCGCGCCTTCCAGAGTTGCCACATCCCCAAAGCCCTCACACAGCCCGGGCGCGATTGCACACGCACACACGCACATATTCTGTCCCCGTGTGACACCCACTCTCCTCGGGTGGCCGCGCCAGTCCCCGCGCTGTGCCCTCCTCCCTCCACACACACACACACTCACTCACTCACTCACACACACACACACTCACACACAGGCAGGCGCGCGCGCGCAGCGCCTGAGCCCCAGGCAGCTCGCCCGCAGCTGGCAGTCGGACGCGACCTGCTCCCGTCTCCCCGCGCCCATGGCCTCTCCCGGCTCCGGTTTTTGGTCCTTCGGGTCTGAGGATGGCTCCGGGGATCCTGAAAACCCTGGCACAGGTAGGAAACTCGGAAATAAAGCGTTGGAAGGTCGGCCTGGGGTTTACAGGGCTGCGGGAAAGACGAGGGAGGCTTTGCCACCTGCAACAGGAAACTTCAGGCACTTCGCCCTGCTCTGGAGCTAAGTCCTTGATCGCCCGAGACCCACACAGCCCTTTGCCCTGGGGAAGGAACCCCCAAGAGTCTTGAGCCCCTTCCCCCTGAAAAGCTAGGAGAGGGGGGCTCCTAAAAGATGCGGCGCCTCTAGAACATCGAATGCCGCGGACCCGGGCGATCTGTCCCTTGATGTCTAGACCCCGGGGTAGGGGCGATGAAGAAAGCAAAGGGGAACAGAGAATTCTCGATCTGGAAGGAGAGTGCAGGAAATCGATGGGCTTGGTGTCTAGCAAAATTCGCTCTGGGCACGCGGGAAGGGAGTTTGTGGCCA